TTGCAGGGGTGGGCAAACTTTTTGACTCGAGGGCCACAATGGGTTCTTAAACTGGACCGGAGGGTCGGAACAAAAGCATGGATGGAGTGTTTGTATGAACTAATATAAATTCAAAGTAAACATCATTACATAAAAGGGTACGGTCTTTTTTTTTTTTTTTTTTTAGTTTTATTCATTTCAAATGGGCCGAATCCGGCCCGTGGGCCGTAGTTTGCCCACGTCTGGTTTAGGGAAACTGAGGTCCTGCAGAGTCCCAGACGCTTTGGACACGGTGCGGAGTTAGCCCGGGCTTTCCGACACAGTGAGCCGCTGTCAGGATCCCTCCCCAGGGTCCAGCGGGCCTGGAGGAGGGAATGACAGGTGGACGGCGGTGGGACTGACAGCCAGGTTCTCCCGCTGCTGTGGTCCCACTGGGATTCTGGAGGACAAGAGCGGATCCCTTGCAGGAGTCTCTCTTTTCACATGACCGGCCTGAGGACCCCTGAACATGGGCATGTCCCCTGGGCGGAATCCCAGCCTGGTGCTCACTGGGAAGAGGACGGAGGGTGAGGGTCCCGTGTGGGAAGCTCAGGGCAGCAGGCAGCCACGTGTCCACCCTCAGGGTGCAGCCTGGGTCCAGCAAGCCCTTCCCTCTTGCCCATCTGCTCCGCGGAGCGGACCCAGCTGGGCTGTCCTTCCGCGAGTGGACAGATGGTGGTGAATTCCCCAATGACCCGCTGATGGCTTCCTCGGGTTCACGGAGAACAGGCTCCCGCTGTGAGGCTCCCATCGCACGGCTGACAGCAGCCTCCTCCACCAGCGCGTTTATCTAAGAGGCAACGTGGACTGTGACAATGACAGTCAGCGTCTGCACATCGAGGGGATCCTGACTGCATGTGCCTGTCACTGCTTTCTTACTTCCAGCAACCTCACCCCCTCCGCCCTCGACTTGTCCACGCAGGAGTGAGGCTCAGCACGTAGGCTGATGTGCCCACTCCCACCGAGCTCCTCTGTGGTGTAGGCTTTGTGCCTCCACTATGGGAGGCCAGGTCTCGTAGCAGCTCTGAGGAAAGGTAAGTAGTCCCCTTGGAAAACCTCGATAGGATTTCTGTCTCTGAAACCCCTTCCTAGACATTTATTTGCCATAAAGGGGTGAACACACTTTCTGGCTGGCATCTCACAGGGTCCACAGGGACACCCAGGGAGTGTCTCTGGCCCGTCCTCTGACTGGCACAGGCCAAGTCTGGACCTCCTGGGCCAGGGCAGGTTTGCTGAGGGGAATGTTCAGGTTCTTGCTTTTTATTACAAACTAGAGGCCCGGTGCACGACATTCGTGCACTGGAGGGGTGGGAGGGGTGGGGTCCCTCAGCCTGGCCTGCGCCCTCTCGCAGCCTGAGACCCCTCAGGGTATGTCCGCCTGCTGGCTTAGGCCCACTCCCCCGTGGGAGCTCACTGATCACCAGGGGGCAGCTCCTGTGTTGAGCGTCTGCCCCCTGGTGGTCAGTGCATGTCACAGCGACCAGTCAGTCCTTCCACAGTTCAGTTAATTTGCATATTAGGGTTCTATTACATAGGATGTGTGTATCGTTCCCCCTCCCCACATTGCGACCCAGGCTTGGCCAGCAAATGTGTCCAATGAAGGGCCACTTCTTGCCCGCTGTCCCAGAGCCTCCTGGCTGTAGCTTATGTTTCTATGTTACATCACACCATGGAGGCAGCTCCGCCCTCAGTGTCCCCAGTGCTGGTATAGAGGCCCTGCACCTGCTTGGGCCCAGGCCACAGGCACTAACCTGCTTATGCCTTGCTGTAGGCGGAAGGTGTGTGTCCCCCCAAATTGAAACCCTGACCCCTATGTGATGGTATTAGGGGTGGGGCCTTTGCTGTGAGTAGGATTCACAAATCCTACCCAGGGAGGAAGACTTGGCATAGGAGGCAGCTTGAGGAGATGCCATTAGCAACAGCCAAGCCGAGCTTACCTGGCTTCTCCCCGGAGCAGTACGTCCCCATCTCATCTCTCCCCACAGCTCATTCGTGCCCTAGGAATTGGAGGCAGCCGTTTCCCAGTCCTCCTGCCAAGGAGGACCCGCTGGTGGATGGAGGCTGCCGCTCTCCCGCACAGCGCGGCACACAAGCCGGCCATCTGGGGAGGCGGGGCGTCCGATTCCTGCTGCCCGAGCTCGGCCAGATGCCCCAGACGTGGGTGCTGTGCAGGATGGTGCCCATCTGTGTTTGTTTGGGAGGCGCGTGGCACCCGTCATTATCTGTGTGGCCTTGAGCAAACTCATTAACTTCTCTGAACCTCAGCTGTCTCTTTGTTAACAGGGTTTCTAAGGGTCTCTCGGTAGTGTTTTGAGATTGAAATGCAATCACCCAGGTGCAGTGCCCCGCCCACGGCTGGGCACATAGCAGCTCTCGGGAATGGCGCGTGGGCAAAGGTGTTTGATTCAGGGCATGTTTCTGAAGGACAGCAGGCCAGCTGTTTTTGTTTGGGACAATGTCAATACAAGAAGAAAAAAAAAAGAATCAAGTTTCTATGGCTCCCAATTCCCAAGAGATGCAAGGCCTGCTGGGAAGCAAGGCATGGGGTAAGTCATGTGCAAGAAGGTGCCCGGTTGTCACAGATCATGGGCAGGGAGGGTTCCCCCAGACTAACCAGGGCTCTTTCTCCTCCACCAAGGTCAGTCAATGCTGAGGCCATGGTCTCAAAGCAGCAGAAGGCAATGCCAGAGGTGGGCTCTGACCGCCCAGCCAGGACGGCGTCGGAATCCTGGGCAATGCCCACCCCACTCCCCACCCCCGGCCCAGGAACAGGGTCCCTTTGATAGTGGTGTCAACACCTGTCAGGTGTCAGGTGGATGGGAGAAGACTAGGGGGTACTTACCTTCTTCTGAGGTCCCCGGGGCCTTCCCCTCACGGGGGATGTTTGTTCTCAGAGAGGAGGGACAAGGATGTTGGGGTCCCAGTGCTCTCAGGGTCTGACCAGGGACCTAACGCTTGGGATTTGGGAGATGTTGAGGCCTGTGGGAATGACGGTGGCCCCACCTCACAGCCTGGCCCACCTCTCTGTGGCCCGGCAGAAGTGATGGGTGGACCCTGAGCCATGCAATGCGGGGCCACAACCCCCAGTGGCTGGTGTGAGGCACATGCTTTGAAGTGAGTCCCTGGAGGCCTGGCCGTCCGACCACATTTAGTACATAGTCCGTGTCTGCACGAGAGCTTCCTAAAACCACCTGGAGAACTTGTCAAGCTTCAGTTGGAGCCACTGGCCACGAGGAAGGACCTCCCAGGGGTATGAACGGCAGGCCTGCATGTGTGTCTCTAGGAGAGGAAGCAGCTAACGGGCCCACTTGGATGAATGTGTGTCTAAGCCCGGCACCCGCGGGCTCCGGCCCGGCAGGGAGCTTGGGAATAGGATCCAGTTGATCCCTTCCTCTCCTGTAACCTCTGCGGCTCCTGTGCTTGGCAGAGAGCCGTGGTTTGGGTTCCTGGGGGCCCCCGCAGAGACGGACACCTGGAGGCATCTCCTTGGCCAGGTGGAGAGGTGGAGAGTCACACACTGAGGAGGCAAGTGGGAACCAGGCCCAGGCCCAGGCCAGCGACAAGGCTCCTTTCTCTGTCATTTCCGGCCCTTGCTTCGCTGCCTCACTGCAGGCACTGGTCGGGGTGATGAAGGCGGGTGGGCGGTCTGGCTGGGGGCAACCGTGCTGCTGTGTAAGCGCTGGCCCTGGTGGGCCTGGGGTGAGCTCCTGCCACAGCTCCCCTCACTCAGGACCTCCAATCTTAGGAATGGGCTTCTGCTTCGACTCCTAACTGCATGCCTGTTCCCGCTGGGGCTGCAGGCTGCCTGCTTCCACCCCCCAGGGCAGGTTCCATCCCATCCCAACACCTGCTTCCCCAAGAAGGGTACCTGGAACCCTGGCTCAGCGCCATTCCCCCGGGGAAGACCCGCTCCGTGCGCCCAAGCACAGGGCCCTGCTGCCCTGACGGTGGCAGCCAGGAGCACCAGTCCTCATCTCAGGCTGCCTGCCTGCCTCCGCCCTCACCTGACCCAGGACCAAACGCAGTTCTCTTTGCTGGGCCTCAACTTTCAGCCTCAGGCAGCTTCGCTCTGACTCCTGGGGAGGACACTTTACGTTTGGGGCTGGATTATGCTTCTATTTCCAAAGGCCAGTGGAGAGCTGCGGTGACTGTGGGTGTGGCCTCCATACTCTAAGGCTGGGGGCCCTTTGAAATCTCTCTCCAGGTCTAGGTCAGCGAATCAGAAGTCTGTCTGCCTCAACACATGCTCCATCCATCGACATGACCATCTGCACTGTCGGTCTGTCCATCCACCCGCCTGTCCTCTTTCTGAGCCATCTCTACCGGAGAAGAGAAACCCGCTAAAGCTGTCAGTTTCAAGGCTCTTTTCTCTCTAAAGTTCACCCGCTCCTTCTCCCACTGATGCCCCTCACCCCATGTTTGCAAGATGGGAGGAGGCAGCCCTCCCCTCCCCCTCCCCTGGGCGCCATCCCTGCTCCCCCAGCCCCGCCGCCTTCTTCGACCCCGGCCCCCTGGAGGGCAGGCCCGAGGTTTCTTGGCACCAGCAGCTGAGAGTGGGCCCCTCCTGGGCTTGAAGGTGCAACTGCCCCTGCAGTCACCTCTCATTTTTGCCTCTCACCCCCTAATTCGCTAGTTAACAAAGATGTGCTGAGCCCTGAAGTCAGACACCTCAGTCAACGATGGGTGCTGATGCTTTTACTTAAAAATGCTGCTTGCTTGCTTTTCTCTCTGCTGTCCTTCCCTCTCCCCCATCCCTGTGGCCTGGCAGAAGTGATGGGTGGACCCCGAGTGAGACCTTGGTGGGACCCCGATGGGCTCATCTGGCCCTCTGAACCCCGGCTTCCTTTCTCCCTGGAGCTGCCACAGGCTCTCTGAGAGGTGAAAGAAAACCACAGTGAAGGGCAGAAGTACTTTGAGATTCTTGGGCGTCGGGGTTCTCCCTTTGATGGGAGGTGCAGGCCACAGTGTGATTGGGGGTGGCCGTGAGGGGACCGAGACACTGCCCAGGTGCTCAGAGGAGCTCTGTGGCCCAGGCCCCCCTCTGAGAGTCACACTAAACAGGTGACCGATCCAGCAGGCAGCCTTGGACACACAGAGCTCAGCAGAGGAAACGCACACCCTTCACGGATCACGAGACACCATCAAGGCCCTGTTCTCTGCAGCGCGCAATAGTGGTTACGGGTCTCAGATCAGCAAGGCCGTCCCTGCATGACTTGGACCCACCCATCGTCTGCGACCTCCATCTAGGATGGTGTTTGAGCCTCTAAGGGGGCAGAACCTCTCCTCCCTGAATCCACGATGAACCTTGGGCTGGTAGGAATGAGGGGATGGGGGTGACTGCCCTCTCTAGGTGTCCACCCTAGCGGGGGGCTGCCAGTGGGCCTGTGAGACCCGAGGAGGGAGGTGACTCGGGCCAGCTGATAGAGGTGTGTGAGGGCAGAGGCCACGCTGAAGCGTTCATTGTGGGGAATCCTGCCCTGGCCTGGCCCTTAGCCAGCGCCCACAGGGGCTGGGAGAGAAGAGGCAGCGTTGCCTCGGGGGCCCAGGCAGCAGGCCACCTGTTTGGAGAGGCACTGAGCTGGGAGGGTCTGAGGCTGGAAATACTGCTCCTCCCCACAGAGTCCCCCAAACATGGCACTCAGCGAGTCCACCCCACCCCAGCCGTGGTGCTGCAGCATCTGAGCTCATAGAAGCCAGGGAGGGAGGCTGCGGGGAGAGGGCAGCCCTTACACCAAGCCCCTGGTCTCCCGGGACCCATTCAGCCCCTCCAGCTGGTCCTCTCCATCCTGCTCAGCCTCAGCATCCAGCTCTGCTTTCGCACAGCTTCCCGGCAGCGGGGTGCTGGGGAGGCACGGGAAGAGCCGGCCTTCCTGCTTCATTTCCGCCAGCTCCTTGGCACAGCAGCTGGGCGTGTTGGTCTCATAGGTGTCATGGAAGGTGTTGTAGTCCACCTCATAGAAGCCCTTTTCCAAGGTGAGGACTGGCGTGAACCGGTGGCCCCAGAGCACCTCTGTATCCATGTAGGAGCTCCGTGCTTGGCAAGTCATGCCTGCAGAACAGAGGGTACACGTATCAGGAATGGCCACAGCCGTGCATGCAGCCAACCATGCAGTTATCATCTATATATTCATTCATTCACCCATCATTCATCTATCCATCCATCATCCACCCATCCATCCATCCACCCAACCATCTAATCACCCATCCATCTATTCACCCAATCACCCATCATTCATATATCCATCCATCCAACCACCTAATTATCCATCCATCTATTCACCCAATCACCCATCATTATCTATCCATCCATCACCCATCCAGACACCCACCACCACTTGATCACTCATCGAGCATTTGCTGAACATCGTCTTAGTGCTAAGCTAAATAAGCTACTTTATGCACACCTGAAGGAGCTCAAGGTGTGAGACAGAAAGTAACAAATTAAATGCAAGATTCTGGCATGGGTTCCTGGAGACTGGAGTGGGTAATTCTGGAATAGCCGGAGCTATGGACATGGTTCCTGAAAACAGCATTGAGGTCTAGAGGAGTGAGAAGAAAAGAGGTGGGAAAAGAGCTTGAACAAAGACATATTCAGAGTGAGTGCACACGGAGAAGCAGACAGGCATTTAGGACACATGGGGATTGTTTTGAGTAGACACATATGGGCAGAAAACTCCTCTCTTTCCCTCCTCTCTCTCTCTCTCTCTCTCTCTCTCTCTCTCTCTCTCTCTCTCTCTCTCTCACACACACACACACACACACAGCTGGCTCCTTGATGGGAGCATGCTCCAATGCCTCCACTCCCTGTGCACTCGACCCGGCAAGCCCGTGTTATTTTGGGGTGTCACTTGCTCTCAGGAGAGGGGGAGAGGGAGGGGAACTGTGTTTTATGAGCCAGGAAGCCTCTGTGCTCAGGGCAGGAAGAAGGCCCCACTCTGATACGGAGTCTTCTGCCCACGGAAGGGACGAGCCAGCGCTCTCGGTGGACTGGAGGAGAGGCCCGCAGCTTGGCCTTTGGTGGGAGGGAATCTCAACAAACCCGCGCAGGTCAGAGGCTGCTTCCCAGCAGCCTGTGCTCCACGCTGGGCCACCCCAGTGCACCCTGCCCACCGCTGGCTCCGGCGTCTGGACTGCTCTCTGCCCTGGGGGTGCGGGAGGGGGCTGCCTGGGTCAGGCCTTGCCATTTAGTCGTTGCCCCTCGTTGTCCAACCCCCAGGGTCAGCAGAGCTGTGGGGCCCAAGCTGGGTACCAAGCAGCCTACCAGCTGTCAGGTCAGCTGTCGCAGATTCGGGGCCTCAGGAAAGACAGCGGGCAGGGCCTCCACAGCGCCAGTGGGTCCAGCCTCTGCGGCTCTGCCTGGTCTTCTGTCCCCATCCTGGGTGGACAGGGGGTGACCCTGCAGCTAGAGATCCCACCTGTGCCCCTCGTGGTCCTCTTCCAATGCATTTGGAAATGGCAGGAGCCCCCCCCCCCCCCCCCCGGTGCCAGGCATGATGCTGTAGATGTTTTTTCATTTAATCGTTCAATCCCCCAATGACCCTGTGAGATTGGAATCCTCATTGACTGACAGCTCTCAGAGGCAGGTGATAGCAGAGTTGTGCTGGGCAAACCCGGGCCTGAATCACAGCCCACACCGGGCTCTGTACGTGTGGCCACCAAGCCATAATAGTCGTTGATCGGGGCAGATATGGGTGGGTGGTCTCCTTCCTTCAACTCCCTGGCCTCCCTGCAGCCCCAAGGACAGCAGCAAGGGGAACCCAGGTCATGGCAGGGGAGAAGGTCCCCAGAAAGGTCGAGTCAACTATAGGCCACTGACTTTGAAGGAGACCAGATGACCACAGTCAGCTGTGCAGGCTCCAAACCTGCCCCCTCTGCTTCCGGTGGCAGTGAGGGTGGCCAGGGGCTGGCCAGGGCAATGCCTGCCTTCCCATTTGTCCCCATGGGTCTGATCTGACCCCTCATTCGTGGCCTTGGAGTTGAGCTCCTCCTGCAAAAACTCAGCCTGTGTTCTGACCCCGAGCCCCGCACCAAGGGCAGCACAACCTGTGAGCCCCAGCCGGGCTGGAGGAGGCTTCTGGCACCCTGACTGCCCTCAGTCCCAGGGGCTCCCGCAGCTGCCGCCTCATGCTGCCTGGCCCGGCTCTGCCCAGCAGATGGCCAAGTGGCCTGGCTGCACCGGCCCCTGGGACCCATTAGCATCCCCAGCCACGTCCCACTGGCTCCGCAGGGGAGCTCTGTGGCTGCCCCCGCCTGGCTCGCCCACCCAGCAGCCAGCTTTCTGGAAGGTGCGGACGGCTTGTTTGGCCGCCGGTGTGACAGGCCCCTAAGATTTGGGGCAGTGTGGTGTGGAGGACCAGGCGTCAGATCTGTAAGTGTAGGCCGGGGTGTGACCACCTCGTCGGCTGGAAGCTGCCCCCTGCAGATGGAAGCCAGCCCTGCATTGTTGTTGCAAAAATGAGAAAAATGTTTCTACAAGTGAGTTTTTTACAAGTGCTCCGTCTACTCAGTGAAAAAAGGAGAAAGTAGTAAGAGGAGTGAGGGGAGGTGACTAAGCAGCAGGTGCGGGTGTGGCTAGAAGGCCCCTCATCCAGGGGGTCCGGCCACGGTGGGTGTGGGGCTTGGACTCCTCCAACCAGGACTCCCCAGCGCCCCCCCACAGAGCTCCGTGTGGCTGAGGAATGAGGACACTCGTGGCTGCCAGCTGCTATCAGAGTCAACAGCTAAGCAGGGCAGTGCCAGGCTGTCTGTGGAGAGGGCATGGCTTAGGCATACATGGATGTGGAGAATTCTCTGCATACCCAGTGTTCACTGAGCCGGAAGCTGGGGGCAGGCTGCTGGGGGCAGGGGGAGGAGCTAGAAGAGCCCCCCTCCCACAGGTCTGGGACATAGGTGTCTCTTCAAAAACAGGACTCCGAGCCGGGCCTGCATAGCTCAGTGGTTGAGTGTTGACCTATGAACCAGGAGGTCACAGTTCTATTTCCGGTCAGGGCACATGCCCGGGTTGTGGGCTGGATCCCCAGTGTGGGGCTTGCAGGAGGCAGCCGATCAATGATTCTCTCTTATCATTGATGTTTCTATCTCTCTCTCCCTCTCCCTTCCTCTCTGAAACCAATACAAATATATTAAAGAAAAAAAGAAGATTCTGAGACTTGGGGAATCCCCGAGTCTGGGAAATCCAGCTCACTTTCCTCTCTTCACCAAGCAATTCACAGCATGGAAAGACACCATCAAGTCCCATTGTTAAGAATCAGGTCCCCTTTTTTAACCCCGTGTTCCCCAAAGTCATTTGATCACACCGCTCCTCTGGGGTAGACATCTGGGCCAGGCTGGGAGGAGGCAGGCGGATTAGCCTGTTGGAAACTCGTGACAATGTTGGGGTCCCTGCCTCGGTGTGAATCTTGGACCCTACAACTTGGTAGCACCTCTCCTGCACAAATAACAACGCTTCTGCCTGTGCCTGTGTCCTAACCCGGGACCCACGGAACACTGTCTCCTAGGGGTGTGGGAGGACATTAAATGAGATCTTATGTGTTGCAAGTTCAGAGCCTGGCCTGGACGTTGGGAGGGTTCGATGAACGCCAGCTGTTGCTATTACTCGACCTTGAGCAACAAAGCCACACTTTAGGGAGCGGCTGGCGGACTCTGCCAGCACAGGATTCTCGGCAGGAACCTCCACCCTCTGCAATCCCAGTGGCCTAAGCTCCTGGGCGTGGGACGGCCAAGGAAGACGAAGTGTCTTACCTGTGGCCTCCACCATCCCTTCCAGAATGACCACGATTTCAAACTCCTCTTGACCCAGCTGGGCCCGGGACATCTCCCAGAAAGGGCTCTTCTCGTTGATCTCGTGGGAGATGATGAGCGGCGACACGAGGAAGAGGCGGTCGTCCCCGGTGTCGAAGCCCACGTTGATGTCGGTCTGGTTCAGGGGGATGAACTCCCCCTCTTTGGTCTGCCGGGACTTGATGAGCTTGGCCCGGATGGAGGCCTCCACGATGTGGGAGTTCCTGAGGTCCCCCACGCGGAACATGAGGCAGAGCTTCTCGTCCCGCATGGAGATGACCGCGTGGTTGGAGAACATGAGTGTCTCGGCTCTCTTCTTGGGCTGACTGATCTTGACGAACATGCAGCCCACCATGAAGGCGTTGACGATGGAGCCCAGGATGGCCTGCACCATCAGGAGGATGGTGCCCTCCGGACACTTCTCTGTGATCACCCGAAAGCCGTACCCGATGGTGGTTTCCGTCTCGATGGAGAACAGGAAGGCCGACACGAAGCCACTGAGGTTTTCGACACAGGGAATCCATTCTTTGTCACCGACGTGGTCCAGGTCGCCCCGGATGTAAGCGATGAGCCACCACAGGAAGCCAAAGAAGAGCCAGGTAATGGTGTAGACCATGGTGAAGACCAGCAGGTTGAAGCGCCACTTGAGGTCCACCAACGTGGTGAAGAGGTCGCTCAGGTACCGGTAGGTCTCCTGGACGTTGCCATGGTGCACGTTGCACTTGCCGGTCTTTTCCATGTAGCGCTGCCGTGGCTTCTTGCCCTCGGCCAGCAGGCGGGTGTGGTCCGTGGCGATGGGCACGTAATCGAGAGCCTGTTTGGGGATCTTCCTGGGGTCTCTGGGAGGGACTCCAATCTCCATATTCTGGTTCATAGCATTCCTGGAATCCCCAGCCATCGCTGGGACACCTGAGTTAAAAATAAAGACATCGTCATGAAGTGGACTATTCTGATTCTTAGAGACACACCACTTCAAGGTCACTCCCGCCTCTGAGCTCACCAAGGCCTCTCTTCTATGTACAGTCGACCAGACTGTGGGATTCTCAAGGGAAGGGTACATGTTTTCTTAATGATTGACTTGTATCCCTGGTGACTAGTACAGGGTCATTGAGGTATAATAGAGGGTCAATAGGTGTTTGTAGAAGGAATCAATGAACAGTTCCTAGGTGTAAAGTAGACACGATGTGGTTAAGGGAGTTAAAGAAATCTGGGAGCGATTTAAAAAATTACAATTGCAACAACTTACCAAATACTTCCCAGAGCCCACATATTATACAAGGACTGTCATTTGTATCCACAACAACCCATCGGAGTAGGATCCCGTACTGTCTGTCATAAATACTGTATTGTTTGCTTACGCATCATGTTCATTTCTAATAGTCTCTTTCCCTCCATTAGAATGTAAGCTCGGTGGTTGCCAGAGGCAGAAGGGAGTGAAATGGGTGAAGGGTTCACCCAGCTGGTGGCTGGCGTGGCTCAGTGGTTTTATTTTTAACTCAGAAACTAAGAGGTTGCTGGTTCGATTCCTGGTCAGAGCAGATGCCTGGTCAGGGCACATGCCTGGGTTGCAGGCTCAATCCCCAGTGAGGACCTTGCAGGAGGCAGCTAATCAATCTCTTCCTCTCTTTCATCGATGTTTCTATCTCTCTAGCCCTCTCCCCTCCCCTCTCTCTCTCAAAATGTGTATATATATATATATATATATATATACATATATATATAGTATATATGTATATATGTATATACATGTATACATATATATGTATATACATGTATACATATGTATGTATATATTTAAAGAAATGGGTGAAGGGTTCAAAAGGCGCAGGCTTCAGTTATAAGGTAGGTCCTGAGGGTGCAGTGTCCAGCATGGTGACTATAGGTAACAACGCTGCATCCTATACTTGAAAGTTGCTGAGAGAGTAGCTCTTAGATGTTCTCACATAAGAGAAAATACTGTAACTGTGTGCTGAAGTGCTAAGGACGGTACCTAGACTTACTGTGATGACTTTGCATTGCATACACATATCAAATCATTATATTGTTCACCTAAAACTAATGCCATGTTCTATGTCAGCTGTATCTCAAAAATAAACTTTTTAAAAGGCTGTAAAACGTTTTTGGCGTGTGAGCTGCGCTTGAAAGAAACACCCAGAAGCTGTGGTCCTGGGTCTGATTCCCTGATGTTCTCTGCTCACACCCGTTTCAGATGCTGGGAGATTATCTCTGATCCTCACAGCAAAGCTATCGGACCAGAGCAGGTATTCTCTCTCCAACCTTCCGATGAGAAAGGGAAGTTCAGGCAGAGAGAGGCTGAGCGAGGGCTGGGTCTCGGTTTCCGCTCGCCAGCACCCACCATACGTGGCCCGCGGAGTGGATGTTCTATGGCTCCTGCGTAGACTGATGAGCTGCTCCCTCCAGAAAGTTCTATGACCTTCGGATCCTGGGAGAAGCCACCTCGGGGACTGGGACTGCTATCATTCAGTCCTTCTTCCTCTTTATAAACAAGCTTTTTTTATTTTTTATTTCCTGGGGTCTCGCCTTCCCCAGAAACTGCATCCCCGATAGAACAACCCGGATGAATGTCCCCTAATCACGGAGCCAGCTGCCTCGGGTGACGCTGGCAGACCCTTTCCTCTGCTGACGGGGGATGGCAGCAGCTTCCAGATATCTCACTGAGGGGCACAGGAAGGGCTGTTTGTGTCGGACATCTGTCGCCCACTCTGCACAGGGCCACCTGCCTCCGCTCTTGGACGTGACAGTCACAAAGGCAAATGAGGGATGCGCTCAGTGCTGTTTGCAGGATCCCAGCGTGAGTTTGCTCTGCCCCCAGGCAGGAGACGTTTATGGAAAGCCCGATGCGAGATGTCCAGAAACAGTGAGACCTGCCAGGAATCCCAAGGCCCCCGTGCACCCCTGGGACCTCAGCGGCTGGACCCAGATGAGGCCTGAGGGGAGCACTGCTGGGGCTCCCCAAGCCTCTGAAGCTGGGCAGGCAGGCACGGTGCCCCCCAGAGGAGTCTGTGGCCGGGGCACCTGGGAAAGCGCGCTCTGCTCTCCTGCCCTCAGCTCTTTGGGGAAAACAGCTTTCTGCTGATTTTCTGCACTGTTTCCTCTTTATTTTTAAACACACCGTCATATATTCTTGGAGGCGGAGGCCTTGTGCTGTCCTGGGAGCAGAGAAAGTTTTCTAGGGCACTCGGCCCAGATGGGAAGCCGCTGGCGTCCAGCAGATGGGAAAGGAGGCTTCCTCCAGTCCGGTCCTGGGGCGCGTTCTCCCAGGGGCTGGAATTGTCTGCGGAAGCGGCTCCTCGCTCAGCCCAGGTGAGATCCGAGTCTTACTCAGCTGCTCTTGAAAGAAACACCCAGAAGCTGTGGTAGTCGGTCTCATTTCCTGATGATGTCAGACTTGCTCTGGGATCCAAAGACACGGTCCCTACCTGCCTCGGCCTCAGTTTACTGCTATAAAACGCAAATACTGCCCTCACCGATTTGGCTCAGTGGATAGAGCATCAACGTGTGGACTGAAAGGTCCCAGGTTCGATTCCGGTCAAGGGCATGCACCTGGGTTGTGGGCACAGCCCCAGTAGGAGATGTGCAGGAGGCAGCGGATCGATGTTTCTCTCTCATCAATGTTTCTAACTCTCTATCCCTCTCCCTTCCTCTCTGTAAAAAATCAATAAAATATTAAAGAAAACAAAGAATGTGAATACTATTTTCTGCCCGTCCAGCCCTGGGGGCCATTATGGAGATCCAGGGAAAGAATGTCTGAATATGAATGTAAATATAAATGTAAATGCATATGCATCAATTCTCCTTGAATTGACACGTATTACAATATTCCATTAACCCCATTTTAAAGAGGAAGACAGAGGCCTAAGCATCGGAGAATGGAAAGCACCCCACCCGCTACCCCGATTTGCAGGGCAAGCTTGGAGCTGAAAGGCTTGGAGCCTCCACTAGCCAGATTTCTTCAAAGAAAGAGCAAGTGCAATACCCATTTTAGAAACCTTAGCCTTCAGGGCTGTGGCCCATCGAGTCAAAAGACTATTCAGGGGCAGTGAGATTCTTTTTATTGAGATATAACTGGCATATCACATTGCATTATGAGATGTTCAAGAGCCATTCTATTAATTTATGCATCTGTTCAGCAAGCATTAGCTGAGCCACGACTACAGTCCATCTCCTGTGCTAAGAGCTGGAGATAAAGCACTGACTAAGGTAAACACAGATGCAGGCCTGTGTAGTTGATATTCTAGCCCTGCCCCTTTGAACCCAGGGGTCTGTGGGCACTGCCTGTGGAGGGAAGAGCAGGGAGAAAGGCCTGGTTGGGTACCACACCCAGGCTCCGAGGGACCAGGGAGAGGCACCCATTTGAGCAAATCCTGTTAAACCTCATCAAGCCCCGCCCTGCTCTTCATCTTCAGTCCTTCCTGTGTCCCCGAGCGGGAAGCTGTGTCGAGACACGATTAAAGCTCTTGGGGAAAAATGTCCAACAAAGTGGTTTAATCTCTTTGATATAAAAATACAAGGGAATCAAAAGAGGCAACGTCAAAGGAAGTTGTGTTTTAAGAGATATATTAACGAATGTCACGTCCATTGCGATGGCCGTCAGTGTGAAGAATTCCAACCTCTCCCTCCCCAGTGAAGGAAACTGTCGAGGACGCTCTAGACCAGTGATGGCGAACCTTTTGAGTTCGGCGTGTCAGCCTTTTGAAAAACCCTAACTTAACTCTGGTGCCGTGTCACATATAGAAATTTTTTTTGATATTTGCAACCATAGTAAAACAAAGACTTATATTTTTGATATTTATTTTATATATTTAAATGCCATTTAACAAAGAAAAATCAACCAAAAAAATGAGTTTGCGTGTCAGCTCTGACACGCGTGTCATGGGTTCGCCATCACTGCTCTAGAAAGTCAGAAGTTTGACAGGAGCTGCCCTGGGGTGTCAGCAGGGTTTCCTGAACAGGACACTGGGCTGGGGGGCTTGTCTCAGACTCAGTTTCCCTATCATGGAGATGGGAAGTGCCGACATCCCCGTTCTCTCCTACACTGGGTCCAAGTCTGCATTCCCTGAGATGTGGGACACGGGGTGAGGTTGGAGGAGGAGTGGATATACTCAGATCTCACACGGAGCTATTTGTATGAGGTTCTATAGGAATCTCCGTGGCTGTACTGGTTGTTAAGACATGAAAATCCTCCAAACAGGTTGGTGAGTAGGCTGCCCCAATGCCCTCAGCGGTCCTCCAGGTGAGCAGGCAGCCTTAAAGGTGTGATCACAAAATCAACCAATGGAGGACATAGAAACAGAGGCGTGGATACATGGAACAGACCAACAGCTGTCCAGGGGGGTGGGGGAAGGTGGCTGTATGAAATAAGGTGAAGAGATTAGCCAAAGAACATATATGCATAACCCATAGACACAGACAACAGTGAGATTTAAAGTGTGAAAACCCCTTGGAAACTGCGGCACAGATTCATTCAGTCGGTCCATCAGTGAAACCCCCATTGGAGAGCTGCTGTCCGTGAATGCTGTGTGGGCTCTGTGCTGGGTGGGTGCTGGGTGCTGGGTGGATGCTGTGCCGGGTGCTGGGGGCGGCAGGAGTGGGGCAGCGCTGCACCAGCCTCCCCTCACTTTCCATCACAGCATCTTGTTAAATGCAGACTCTGATTCAGTAGGTTGGGGGTTCCCAGTGTGGACGGAAAACCTAAACCTCAGGGCGCCTGTCCGGTGGCCTCCCCAACTCAGAGAACACACAGGAAGGTCAGAATGTAAAAATTCCTAAGCAAAAGCGCGTCCCGGCAGGCAGTCACGTCCTTGGCCTGTAGCTTCCTGGGCAAGGGTCAGTCTTCGCCTGAAGGGAGCCTGTCTGTTGTCCTGTGCAGCTAAGGGATCAGACCTCTG